TCATAACACCAACAGAGCTTATTTGTGGTCTTGGACATCCTGTCAAGACACCAAAGTCAAATTGTTTAAATTTATATTATAAAATTTGTCACAAAACTAATTTAACATATTCAATTTAACTAATGTCAAATTTCATTATTATTAGCTCAACCATCATTGTAACTACGTGTCTTCCGTCATATGTCAGTTGTCAAATGTCGTAAATCTCCACCATTTTCTCATTTAACTTCACCGTTGGATGACCAAAGTGTCATAAGTGAAAAATGTTTTCTAAAAAAGTTATTATTTAATTATACCCCTTAAGCTTAGGCTTAAGGGTGTACACGAGCGGGGCTCCGTCTACCCCTTTCGTACTGAGGATAGGGGGAGTAGCTATATTTCACATTTCCCAAAAGTAACACTTTCCACATGGTGCCTTAAGCACACGTGTGGAACTTCAAAATTTATTTCATTCGAAACCACCTTCATCAGATGGAGGCAGACGAAATTCAAACTAGAACTGGATCCAACCTCGAATGAGGGAGGCAGTCTGTGCCAATTTTTACAATTTGCTTAAATTTTAATTCAACATACTTATTTTTCTGTGGACACATAGTGATAAGACACCTAGCATTTCTATAAAAAACGTTTTGTTATACCTTAAATTATTATTGCAGATTGTACCTACTCACTTATAAAAAAAAAAAAATTGCCTGATGATGACCTGTTAGGTCGAAAGCGCTTGCAACCTAATAAATTTATGTGGTCGACAGACTTTGAGCTTTTTACTTCCCTTTAATTAAATAAAGTTTTATGTACAGGATGTTATTTAAATAATAAATTAGAATTTGGAAAAATGTGAATTTATACGAAGCGTGACAGTATCTTAAACACTTATTCTGATCAGCTTCAATAGACGAAATATGAACATTGTAAAAAGGTGTCCAGATGAGCAACCCATATTCGAGCAGGGATCTGATATATGCAGAATATACTACTTTGACTGAATATATCGAGAGACCACTTGTGTTTGTCAGTCTAAATCCAAGAGTTTTTCCTGACTATAGTTTTCCCAGTCGTGAATTCGGCTTTTCTAATAGACACCTTTGGGGTAATAATTTTCTAAGAAAGTTGGGCACCAATAATTCTCTTTTTTTGTTTTTGAAAGCTAGTGAGAATTATAAACTCTAGCTTTATCAAAAAGGAAGGTAATAAAAACTTATACAAAATTTAATTTGAGTAAAAGAGAATTGTTGTAACCTTTAAAAAATAAGATTCAACATATATACTTATAAAAATCAAATAATTTATTCAAATAAAAAAAAGAAACTGTTCAGGAACAAGTCATTTAAAGTTTATCAGGTAAATTAACTTTTATCTCGTCATTAATAAAATTAGCCACTATTAGTTACCACATGATTTTGGCTGGCAACTTCCTTAGGATGCAGTCGAAAATTCTACGACTCGGGAACGAACACCAAATCTCGCATTTCCCATATTTCTGCTACTCGAGCATGAACAGCATGCCTTGTTCTTCGTTCTCGTTCTTACGTGTAACTTTTAGCTTTTAGCTTGTGAGTTTTAAATGTCAGCTTTCAACAGTTAGTTTTCATCAGTTAATTTTCAACGGTTAGTTTCTAACGGTTAGTTTCCAACGGTTAGTTTTCAGCGGTTAGTTTCCAGCTGCACTTATTCGTTTTCTAAACAAAAATAAATTCTGTTTTTTCACGTGGCTCTTGTATGAGATATAAATTAAATTTGAAACATCTACTTTTTAAAATTAAATCAAGATACAATAAAAACTAATTACTATAAACATTGTGCAGTTCCAGCAACCAGAATGAATTATAAAAACATATTTAGAAAAATTTAAAATTTAAAAAAACTAATAACTAGCAATATGTTGGAATATTATTCCTACAGAGATATTTTTACAATGACATTATACTTTTTTTTATGCTTACCACTTTTACAGCCAAACACTACCAGATACGAAGAGATAGTAATCATAAATGAAATTTAAAAATCTAATGGCGAAATCGTTTGATTTACTGTACTCCCACTTCACGAAATTTCCCTTTTTTTGGAATATTGCGTGCGGCGATAATTGAATTTAAATTAATCGAAAACTATACAGGATGGCTCATATTTAAAATAACATTTTTAACTGGACTTAAAATGTTACAATGTATGTTAAATGTTAGATTCTCATCGACAAGAACTCTTTTATCTAAGTTACTCTATTGAGGACTGTATCACAAATAGAATAATCTGTAATACAGACTGGTTTTGTTTGTATACTTTCTACAATAAAACTGTGGGTATTTATTATTTTTCTTAAAATTATTACTTGTAGACTGACTTATTAAAACTAGACTTTAACCCTGTATTTTCAAAGAGAAATTACATAATCTGAAAGGGTACTTACTTATAGGTCTAACTTAGATGTCTATCAAGTCTGTTGAGCGGTTCAAGGCACTATGGTTTTCTACCAAAAATTAAATATCCTACTAAGGCGTGATTCGTCACGGCTAAATATGCGTGAACCTTTTTTTTCTAGTTGATATTCTTAATCCTCAGAGAATATTTAAACTTTCGTATCATAACTTTCACTGGGGTGTGTGGGAGGGGTTAATTAAAATCCGTTAGTAAAATAAACAAATATAATGATAAAAAAAGGGTTTAGTGAATTTTGACATTCCAAAATATAATAGAAATCAACAAACAGAACAAGAAAAAATTAAGGTAAAATTCCTAGTAAACTTTAAAATTAAGTTTATGACAATGGCACTAAGTTTTAGGTTACTAACATTGTCTAAATAGCAATTCGTTTATCCTTCATAAAAATTGAATTTATGACAGTCTAATTAAGAGTTAAAGAATTGATACAAATAGGTAAAAAAAAAACACATACAATATGAAATAGTTTTGCCACTGTCACAAAATTTAGAGGTTGCTTAATTCGGTTTAGAGCAGGTCGTAAACCCAGTGAATTCCCGTTTTTTCTTTTGTTACTTATAAATTATAAAGGAGAGAGCACTATAATAGCTTAACCAAATATATCAAGCTACAAGTTGATACCATATAACTTAAAAGATCAAGTTAATTATTGTTTCATTGAACTTACCCCTATTATCTTGAGGGTTGACTGTTAATCACACCTGTATTAGGTGATCGTCCCCGGATTCGCCTGGTCGGTGAACACTACTAATTAACGTGCGCAAAACTACACAACACCGTTCGCGCCGCGAATTTTCTTTAAAAAACAAAAAAAAAAACTTAAATAATTAGATGATCCAGCCAGACCTGTTTTGAGTCGTTCCCCCGCGATGAGCTAATCCCGACTTTTAAGCCTCAAAATGAAGCGACACCAGGAGCGCGTCAAAGGCGCGAAGTGCTCTTTGGTACTCCCGGGCACCAACTGCCTTCTTTTTTAATCCAACCCGCGTTGAACAATGTAGCTTCAATGTTGTATCAGCAACACGTGCAGTTTCATAGCCTACATCTGTTATTTCCCATAGCTTGCGAAACTAAGTAGATTGCCCAGTTTCGCAAAAAAAAACTGTATCAACAATTCCATGATGTTTTTTTTATGTTAAGAAACCTTTGTTTTAAATTACAACTTTGTTTTTATAACGACGTCCGGTTGAATTATTAAATAAACTATAATATATTCTTTTATTTGCAAAATTACACATTTATCTATGAAATGTTTACTTGGAAAATTATGATTTTGGTTATACCGAGTGACTCGAATAACTTTAATTTAAATAATTTGAAATATATTTAATAATCACCGATTATTACAAATCTAACCCTACCAAATGTAATCGTGTGACATTTAGAAATATTGAGAGACATACAGTTTTTCACAGACCAATTATGGCATATTTGAAAATACTACCAATGTCATGGGTGAATAGTAGATTCAACAAGGGCCCTAAGTGAGAGCCCTGTGGGACTCTAGAAGGCACCACAATGTGGTATGAAGTAATGCTGTCAATCTTCAATATCTGGATCCTACCAGTTAAATAGCAATGAAATCAAAGGATCTGGAAAACCTAAAAGATTAAGTTTGTGTGATAATAATGAATGGTTTATACGATCGAAGGCTTTACAGAAGAATATCCTGCTGATAAATCATCAAATGTGTAACTGTTGATTTACCTCAATTTATTACAATACCAAGAAAGATCACAGACAATTTTTAAAAATGTTTAGGAATAATGGATAGCATACTAGTAGGTCTGCAATTCTAAATATTGTTGCCATTTTTGAAAATAGATACAACATAACTACTTTTCTAGATGCTTGAAAAATAATTTAACTTTATCGAAGAAAAAATAATGGACTAAAGTTAAACAAATAATGATTGAGAGTAAACCGCGTTGTCATATCTCAATTTTATATTACCAGAATCAAAATATAGTAAGCAGTAGAGTTGTAGGTTGTGGCAAATTATAGATAGTATACAATCCTAGTACGATTAAAAGATATTATTTATGACAAAAATCAGTAATGAGTAATACTTATACATTTCCTGATCATTTAAAATTATTTATATTTCTCCTCTCAATCATTATTTGCTTTACTTTAGCCAATGTGAAAATACATTTTTTCAGAAAAAATGGAGGAAATCCATCTGATTCATGGCTTAATTTATCGTTAAGATTTAATATGTTATTAAAAACTTCTTGTACCGAAAACTTGATAGGAGGAATATGAAAGGTGTTTATAATATCTAAATTAACAGTCTGTTTTTTTATGAATGTAAGCAGTAGAAAAGTGTTCAGAAAATAAATCCGGGATGCGTTGGGAGGTATCACCTTATCCTTTAAGAACATAGTGCCAGGCAAAGAAGCAATTTTTATAGATTATAATAGTTCTAGAAAAATTTGGACTTAACATAGATTGATCTGTTTTAATGAATTCATTTGTCGTTATTTTTCTCTGGAAAAGCAAATGAAAATACCAGAGTTGTCCATAACATGTCTGAGATCTGTAATCTTCTCAATTTCTAGGTGGAAATTGACAGCTGACCACTTGGCAAAGAGCGCGAAGGCCAAGCTGTATAACGTTCTTCTTTTCCCTGATGGTTGGATAGTTGGGGCCGACGAGGAAGAATATTTACGTTCTACCTGTATTCCTGAAGTCGTTTTGTTGTTGTATGCCGTACTTTCGGAATCTGGACATCACGAGGAGGCAGTACAATTATCAGATCTTGTGGCCTCCGAGAAGTACGGGATATATAAAGTAAGTGCTGATTATTTAATGACTTTTACTTAACTTTATATGTAAGTGTTAACTCTGACATGGAAAAGTTACATCAGAATAATTCGACATTGAATCAAAATTCTTCAATTGAATTCTTATTAGATTAAATGGATGAATTAATTGAAGAGTTCATTGTTTATAAATGGATTAATAGTTTAAAAGTAATTTTTGTTGATTCTGTGAACTGGATTTACGAAATAATAATTTTTTCATAACTTTTTTATTATGAAACATATTTTAACGAATCGTCATTTAGTAAGTATGATCGTGCGACGAAAAAAAAAACATTAATACAGGGTTACTATAAAAGAATCATCGGGTTTGACAAAGCTATATTTCGGAAAATATGATGGATACAATAATAAAGGGTATGACGGTAGACAGAGAAAACATTACATTTTTAGCGCGTTACAAATGTTCAATGTGGGCTCCTAGAGTCACACGACAGATGTCCAAACGATAGTCCAGTTCAGTCCACACACTCTGCAATGTATCGCGGTCGATACTGTTGACAGCAGCGGTAATGCGTCTTCTGAGCTCCGCCAGTGTTGCAGGTAGAGGTGGTACGAGCACCGTGTCTTTAATGTATCCCCAAAAATAAAAATCGCACGGTATAAGATCAGGAGAGTTGGGAGGCCACGCAAACATTGCCAAATCGTGTTCCGCACAACGGCCTATCCAACGATGAGGGAGTTCCTCGTTTAGATTCCCACGCACGTCATTATGCCAGTGAGGTGGAGCGCCATCTTGTTGGTATATAAAGTTGTTGGAATCGGCCGTCAGTTGCGGCATTAACCACAGTTGCAACATATCGAGGTACGAAATACCGGTCACAGTGTTTTCATTAAAGAACATTCAATTTTGGAGAATCCCTTTCATGTTGGACAGTTGCATGAGGATTTTCGGTGCCCCATATCCGAATATTGTGACGGTTCACCTTGCCACTTAAATAAAATGTCGCTTCGTCGCTGAACACCAGACCGTTAGCGAATCCGTCACCCTCCATGGCTTCCTGCATGTCATTACAGAACTGTGTTCGCTTGACACAGTCATTTGGTCGGTAACTTTTGCAACAGATGTATACGATACGGTTTGAATCGCAATTGTTTCCGAAAAACTTTCCTCACAGTTTGCTGCGGCATACCAAGCGCACTGCCTGCTTGACTAGGGGATTGTTGTGGCGACTGCACAAAACATTGTCTAACCACATCCACTGTTGCGTCGGACACTCGTGGTCGTCCGGTGCTTTTACGTTTCTCAAGTACACCTGTAGTCTTGAAGTTTCGATACCATCGTAGAATGCTCTGATGACCTGGAGGAGCAATTTCGTATTCCCGTCGGAATGCACGTTGCACTCTCTCAACCAATAAACATCGCGCGTATTCTAACACACAGAATGCTTTCTGCTGCATAATCGCCATTTTCATTACTGCTGACGTGACGTGGCGTGCGCATGATCAGCTGCCTCCGCACGCGCGCGTTGTAAACGTAGATGTTGCCGCTGCCTATAGACATTTAATTTATTATTGTATCTATCATACTTTCCGAATTATAGCTTTGTCGAACCCAATGATTCTTTTATAGTAGCCCTGTATAATATTGCTATTTTCGATAGTGAAAAATAATCAAAGCATGCCTCGAATATGCAGATTAATTATTAAATATTTGTGAGATAGTAGATTTTTGACTCTCTATGATCCTAAAACAAAAATGGTTCCAATCGACTGTTAAATACAGGTTCTACAGGTGGTGCTTCCATCTTAAATGGGTCACAATGTTTAAAATTAATTGTAGAGTAGAAATATTACCTTTATGCACGACCGGGCGATAATGTCCAGATTATAAATACGTTTAGCGGGCGTAAAGTGTCATTTTACCGCCCGCGGACTACTTTACCGCCCGCCGGGCGGTAAAGTAACTTTCTTTTTTTTTTCTTTTAAAAATTCACATGTAGTTAGTAAAACAAACTTTATTATTATTATTTATTATCATGGAAATATTTGGTACAATTAACAAAATATGAGTTTAATAAAGAAATTATAACTTTAAAAGCCCAAACATAAGATCCTCACACTTATAATTTTATACTAATAACACAATTTGAACAATTACTTATAGAAATGTTAGGATTTGCTACCTTGCTCTGTTGTAAGTTGCTACGAACTTCTACTAACTCCGTATGATTTGGGTTACTGCTGGAAGGTGTATGCTCAAAAGAATCGGTATGTAAATTTGAAAATTCAGCTGTGCGACTAGTAGAAGGCATATCAGCATTGACAATTTTTTTGGCGATTTTCATTTTATTTGCCGCAGAATCTTCAATATAACCTTCTGCCACCGTTGTAGACTTCCAACCAGCATGTCGCTTTATGTTAAGGATATCCTCACCTGCATTAGCTAACAAAGTTGCCGAAGATCGTCTAAAACAATGGCCTGTGTAGTCTTTTGGAGTAGGCAATTTTAAATAAGTTGCTATTTTAAAAGGAATTTGACCAAATGTATTCCTTCCAACCACCTGACTGGAACATTTTCCATTACGATAATACACAAAAAAACGTCCGTGGTTGGTATTTGTCGTACGTAGTGAAGCATATTTTCGATATAAGTCGAGATAACTTGGTGATTCCTGCTCTTTGTCAATCACACTGAAAATTCGGTCAATTTTAGTTTTAGATGCTCGAATGGTTACCAATAAGGTTGTTCCTAAATCTTGAATATCGTCTATTGAAATGTTAGCTAATTCCTCTCGACGACATGCTCCACAAATACCAAAAATTAGTGCAACCTACAATAAATAATCATATTAACATAATAGTCTAAAATAAAAAAAAAAAAATTAACTTACTTTTATCATAAGATATAAATTATCTGGAGCATCTACTAAAAATAATTCTATTTCTTCCCTGGTTAGAATTTTTGATTTTTTTGGTTTATAACCGTCTGATTTCCGTTTTAAGAATTTTATCAATCTTGAATATCTAGCGATGTTTATATTATTGTGCAAATTTACAGTTGCTTTTAACATCGAATAATATGACCATAGAGACGACGGCTTACGGCATTTGGACTTTTCCAGAAAAAATGCAAGAAATACATTTTCTGTATAGTTACCGTCTATAACATTCTTCAATTTGCACCAGCTAACAAATTCATCGTATATTCTCTTAGATTTGGCGGGTAGTAAACTTAATTTTGCATCTTCTGCTGCTTTAAAAATTTCCGGTGGTATTCCGGAAACTATTTCATCGTCACTACTGTCCATTACATAAACAAAATATATAAAACTTATTCGAAAATATACTAAGAAACTTGCAATACGTGAAGTCGACTGTAAATAAAAATGGCGTCTACCTATTCTTGTCCTATTGACTTGGTTGCTATGGTAACGCGTATAGGTATATAGATTATTGTTATTTTATCATCTTATTAGTTTCAATAAGACTTATTTTTATTTAACTATACAAATGATTTGGTAGATTGTTATACAGGGTGAGTTATAATAATATCGAGGTATAAAATTTATCCAACTTGAAACATTTATAATAACCTACTCACAAAAGGTGAAAAATAGAAAATGAAACATATTTATTAATAAACTATCATTAATACGGTCGTGCATAAAATTTTGTATATTTATTAATAAATGACTATTAAAACGGTCGTGCATAAAATATTGTATGTATTTCGGGCGTAAACAGCGTTTATGGACCTTACGTGTTAATAGCCCTCGCCTAGCGGCTCGGGCTCTTACTTACATGTTGCGGTCCATAAACGCCTGTTTTACGCCCTTGATACATAAATAACTATTTTGTGTATTATTATTATTATTATTATTATTATTATTATCTTACTGTTTAAGATGACAAAGTTTCAACAATTCATTTATAACTGTTTAGTATTAACAAAGAAGCGATTCCAACATAATGTTATTATTTCAAAACGTGTTTTAAGATTTTTCCAACCGTGCCGCATCGCATCTTGGAATAAAAAAAAACGAGGCGAATGCAATTTAAACTCGACTGACATTTTTTTTCTGTTTGTTGTTAGGTGTACTCCAAGGAGAAGCTCGGCGAGTTGTTGGTGAAACTTTGCGAAAGTTCCGTCGCATTATTAAATGCAAAAAAAGATCCTTGGGGTAATGAAACAAGTGCTTGAAGATTTTCTTGTGTTTCGTCGCCGCGGCTCCTTGTCGTCGGATCGACGGGGTTTTCGTATGATTAATTAGGATTACATTTTTTTATACTTTAATTTTCGAGTTGTTTTATTTCGCCCTTTCGCTCTATCCTTTGTGTCCTTGTTTTTCTCCTTTTTTCTTCTATTATGATGAAAAGACTATAACTGATTGTCTGAAGTAAGTGGCGGAATTGTATTTTGTGAGTGTTCGCGTGGAAAATTATGGTAAGTTAAAGAAATTAAAATATAAATAATAATTTTCGGCTATAGTGACATAAAACGATGCCAATTCTATTAAAATAAACCAAGAAAATTATCAATAATTACAAAAGTCAAATTAGGACGTTATTGTAGAAAAGGTCATCCATATAATGTAAAACATTTTTTCTGGAAGATCGTCATAACTCAAAAGAGATGAAAACATAATTACAATAATAAATTTCGGTTAGTGACAATAAAATAAAAATTTTGATAAAAATTAACTAAGAACAATATTTTTAACAGTAACACAAGTCAAATTATGACATTATTGTTGAAAAGGTCATCAATAACGTATGAAATATACTTTTCTGTAAAATCGCCATAACTCAAAAGTGAGAAAAATAAAATATTGTTATAATAATAGTCGGCTAGAGTGACATAAATTAAAATGCCAATTTAAATAAAAATGAATTAGGAAAATTATATTCAACAGTGACTCAAGTCAAATTAGGACATTATTAAAAAGATCATATCAATATGGTATGAAATATTTTTCTGTAAGATCGTCATACTCAAAAGAGGGGTGAGAATATAATTATAATTTTCGGCTAGAGTGACATAAAAAATAATGCCAATTTTAATAAAAATAAACTAGGAAAATTATGTTAAACAGTGACGCAATTCAAATTAGGACATTATTGTTGAAAAGATAATTAATAAGTAATATAATTTTCTGGAAGATCGGCTCAAAAAATGGATGAAAATATAATAATTTTCACCTAGAATAATATAAATAATACATTGCCAATTTTTTTTTTAAAATTAACTAAAAACATTTTCAACCGTGACAAAAGCCAAATTAGGACATTATTGTTGAAAAGGTCATTATAAATTTAATGTGCAATATACTTTTTGTAAGATCGTCTTAACTCAAAAAAGAGATAAAAATATAATATAATAATTTTCGGCTACAGTGACAAACATAAAACGATGCCAATTTTATTAAAAAGAAACTAAGAAAATTATTTTCAACAATGACAAGTAAGGGTGGGTGGTTCAGAGGTAGAGTCTCTGTTTGAGGATCCAAGGGTCCCAGGTTCGAATCCCACCGTTGGCCAGGATTTTTTATTTAATTTAATTATTTAAAATTAATTCTGATGCCTTGGTAGGATTCCCCACTCCACCATTCACTGTTGGGTTCTAATTAACAGTACTGTATCCTAAAGTGGCGCTGGGAAACAGTAACAAAGCCTACACAGAACACGAGATAACCTTAGCAGTTGAAGTTGATGACACAAAAAAAGACAGTGACAAGTCTAATTAGGACATTATTGTTGAAAAGGTCATTATCAATATGTGAAATATATTTTTCTATAAGAATGTCATAAGAGAGATGAAAATTAAATAATATTCGGCTAGTCACATGAATAAAAAATGCAAATTTTATTAAAAATAAACAGAAAATAATATATTCAACAATGACATAAGTCAATTTAGGACATTATTGTTGAAAAAATCATAAATTAGTGCGCAATATTCTTTTCTGGAAGATCGTCATAACTCAGAAGAGGGATGAAAATATAATTATAATCATTTTCGGCTAGATCGACATAAATGAAAATGCCAATTTTATTAAAAAATAAAATAAGAACACATAAGTCAAATTATGACATTGTGGAAACGGTCATTATCAATATGGTGTAAAATATATTTTTTCTATAAGATCATCATAATTCAAAAGAGATGAAAATATAATAATTTTCGGCTATAGTGGCATGAATAAAAAGATTCTAATTATATTAAAAATAAACTAAGAACAACATAAGGTCAAATTAGGACATTATTGTTGAAAAGGTTTGTTTATATGGTTGGTGTGAAATATAATTTCCTGAAGATCGTCATAACTCAAAAGAGGGATGAACATAGGTATTATAATATAATTATAACTTCCGGTTAGAAAGACAAATAGAAATTGCCAATTTTATTAAAAATAAAAAAAACATAATTTTCAACAGTGACACAAGTCAAATTAGACCATTGTTGTAATTAATATGATGTGAAATATATTTTTCTGTAAGAATGCCATAACTCATAAGAGATATGAAAATAAAATAATTTTCCGCTAGTTACATGAATAAAGAATGCCAGTTTTAATAAAAATAAACTAAAAAAATTATTTTCAACAGTGACACAAGTCAAATTAAGACATTATTGTTGAAAATGTCATTTCAATATGCTAAAAGATCGTTATGGCTCAAAAAAAAATTGATGAAAATATAATTATAATAATTTTCGGCTAGACTAATATAAATAAAACATTGCCAATTTATTGAAAATAAACTATTAACATGATTTTCAACCGTGACAAAAGTCAAATTATGATATTATTGTTGAAAAAGTAATTATCAATATGATGTGAAATAGATTTTTCTGGAAGATCGTCATAACTTAAAAAAGAGATGAAAATATAATATTCTTGAGTGTTTTCTTAATGTTATAAATAAAACTTGTTATTGTTTGAATAAAAGGTTGACACTATTATTTATTCCCAAAAAAATATTTGGTATTATACGCCGACACTCGAACGGCAGATATAACTATTGAAATGTTATAAAGAGTTTCTAGACACTTTGAAACATACTATACATAACAATTTTAAGTCGGCTAACACTTATTTACAAAAAAATTTTTACCTTAAAATTCTTAAAATTTGTTGTCGGGTCTTCATCATAAAACAAATGTGAAATAAACCATTTTCACTGTTTTCTTGTTGTAGAAACGGCTAAATATCAATATAAGACCATTCATAGAGCAATAAACCGTACCAAATTTTTTCATAAATGATTAAATTTTCTTATTTTTCATCTTTAGTTTGTTAAAAAAATAAATAAACACAATTATTTTCAATGACAATTGATGTGTCTACTAGTTTCTATAAATGCGGTGTTGCCAAATCGAGTAAGAAAACATATAAGTCAGGAAATAATTCGGTTAGTGAAAGTTGGCTGAAAAATTACATAGTGTCTGGCCAGCAGGTAAATTTGGATCTCGAAGTAAAAACATTGTAGTAATCACAGACAACCGTCTTTTTATTTCATTTCATGATGATTGTACGTTAATTACGGCATGTCGGTACTTATCTAATATTTAACAAAAAATTTTTTTTTTCAATTTGAGCTGTGTCCAGGCCGTTGGAGTTTATGCCGGTCGGCGTAGCCAGGTATGGTTTAAAAATTTTCTTGTGGCGGCGAAGCCGCCACCTTACAAGAAGTCGTTCCTTCATTTTCTTATTGTATATTTTCTTATTATTAGATGCTCACGATACAAGAAACGTTCGTTAAAAGTTGGGATCGAGGTTCACTGGCCAGACGCTAACGAGGGTTGGTTATGTTAGGTTGTTTTTTTCAATTTGAGCTGTGTCTGGGCCGTTGGAGTTTATGCCTGTCGGCGTAGCCAGGTATGGTTTAAAAATTTTCTGGTGGCGGCGAAGCCGCCACCTTACAAGAAGTCGTTGCTTCCTTTTCTTATTGTTTATTTTCATATTATTAGATGCCCACCATACAAGACACGTTCGTTGAAAGTTGGGATCGATGTTCACTGGCCAGACGCTAATGAGGGTTAGTTAGGTTAGGTTTTTCAATTTGAGCTGTGTCCAGGCCGTTGGAGTCTATGCCGGTCGGCGTAGCCAGGTATGAGTTAAAATTTTTTGGTAGCGCCACCCTACAAGAAGTCGTTGCTTCATCTTCTTATTGTATATTGTTAGTTTAGGTTAGGTCGTCGAAGAGTACTCTGCCGATGAGGGCGAGGAAGAAGATCTTGATATGGATATTTTTTAAATCGTTAGTTTTATATAATTTTTCTGATACTGAAGTCAATTGGTTGGCCTGGTACAACGCAGGGCATAGGTAAAAATTACCATTGCTATGTAATAGATAATTGATATGGCAACATTGTATTTCTTTTAGACACATGTCACACTGCAAATCTTAATTGTCATAGTCTACGAAAATTAAAAAATTCCGACGAACCTAAACATGAGCTTAAATTAAAAAAATAATCTGTTTACGAAAAAATTTGGATGGTTTATTGCATTATGGATGGTCTAGTGTTATTATTTAGCAGTTTCTATAACAAGAAATTAATCAAAATGATGTAGTTTAAATTTTTTCAACATCTAAATTGGAGGACACATTTTAATAGTTTTAAGGTAAGAAAAAAATATTTTATAGCGTTTGCAGGGCAAAAAAGTATTTTGAAACGTGTTTCAGAAGGTCTAAAATCGTATTCTTGTATACCAATACATTTCAAGTGAAAAGTGGCCACCCTGTATATCTCGCATTACGAGGAAGATAAAAAATAAAATGTTACAGGAGAGAGCAAAATAAGTTTCTTAATTTTAAAATGACATTGGATAAAACTTAAGTAAATTTATGCAGTTTAAGTTTGCACCAGTGAAAGAGTAAATAAATGATTATTATTCTAAAACTCCTTAAGTTGTTTTATAAAGTTTATTGTTGAATTACAAGGAATTTTAACTCATTACAGTTTTCATCTAAAAATATTTTTATTAAAGAGAAGCTATGAATAAAATACGGTAAGAAAATAAACTGAAATTATTATTTTTAATTTTGTTCGTGTATTTTCACGAAATTGAATCGTAAATAGGGTTATCATATTCAAAAATACAATTTCTTTAATATAATAAAACTCCAACTTATAAAATAAAAACTAAACGTTTTTTTTTAAAGTACATACCTTTAAAAACAAATCAATAATAGTCTCTCAATTAAAAATTCGTGAAATTAAACAAAATATTATATTATACAAAAGGCATAGACAAGATAACAACCGTATATTAAATTTAAAAAAAGGAA